TCGTTGAGCCGGTTTGTTCCACAGCTGTTACCGATGGATCCAAACACATATGCTAATAGATTAATTAATGATTATAGTTAGGATACTACTAACTATTAGTTCCATTGACAGACTTAGAGCTGCTAATAGTAGTAGCAGGTCCTAAGATGTCAACCACTTATTAGCAACATATATTAGAAGATGGATCTAATTAGGCTTCTACTAAGAATTAAGGGCTTTTATTCGGCTGCTCCTATCCCGGCCCAGCTCCTAGCATCCGTACAGCATCAAGGGCTCCCGGAGAGCAGTAACGACTACAGTACTTCTTGACGGCCCCAGAAGCAAAAGTCCCGGGCTCGCTGGGGCTCACCACAGGCCACAGGTATTTCACGGTTCACGCCTTGACGGCCCCAGAACCAAAAGTCCAAAAGCCACCGACGGGCCCTTCTCTCTTCGAGCGTCACATCACTGAGCACGACTACAGTATCGGTCACGGTCGCCGAGGCAGGATCACTGTTACGTTGACCGGTCTACAGGAGCGGCAGCACTGCAGCAGCCGCCAGTGAGGCCCAATGGCCGGGTGTTTGTTTTTAGTCGCTCTTAAAATTTAGGTAACATCAAATATTTAAATACTAATAAAGAGCATTAAATATAGATTAATTATAAAACTAATTTTATAAATAGAGACTAATTTGCGAGATGATTTTTTAAGCTTAATTAATCTATCATTAACATGTGTTACTGTAGCACCATGTTGTCACATCATGGACTGATTATGCTTAAAAGATTCGTCTCGTAAATTAGTCATAAGTTGTGTAATTAATTTCATAATTAGTCTATATTTAATACTCTATATATGTATCTAAATATTTTACGTGGCCTAAATTTTAGAAACGTCCCTATAAACAAAACATGGCCTTCGTGTCACTCGTATCACGGGCGGGCCACGCGGCCACGCCACGTGAACTTCGCCAGGGCGTGCAGGCGCAGCCGAGCAGGGGAGACGAGCATCTATCAGTCACGTTTATCAGCCGTTATACAGTGTTTTTTTAACAACCGACTTATAAATCATACGAACCATCCAGCGAACGGGCAAACAAGTGCAGAGGTCAGAGCCGAGCAAAGACGGCTGGAAGCAGCGCGCAGTCCTGGAAAAAAAGAGAAAATTTGCTCACTGCCATAAAAAATTATACTGGTTCCCCGTTGTCATAAAAAAAATACTGTTTTCCTTAACTGCCATCAAGTTATTATATTTGATTCCTTAACTGCCATCACTACATGTATAATTGTCATCAAAGAGAGTACTCCCTTCGTGCTAAAAAAAATAAAGTCGTTTAGTCGTTTTAGACAGCGATACGGTCTCCAAAGTATTACTTTAACTTCTTATTTTTATAAAAATATTTTATCAAAAAGTGATATATGTATATTTTTATGAAAGTATTTTTCAAGACAAATCTATTTATATAGCTTTTATATTTTCAAACTCAACAACTTTAAAATTAATCATGATTTATATTCCCAATGTTTGATCCAAACTTTATCCAAAACGACTTTATTTTTAAGTACTGAGGGAGTACGTGTTTTCTTTCCTTAACTGCCATCTAAATACAAAGTTCGTTTCCTTACGTCCTGTTCGTTTGACTGATAAATTATGGCTGAAAGTACTTTTGACCGATTTATTATAAAAGAAAAATACTATTTATTGGCTAAAAAAATACGACTTAAATGTAAAACGAACAGGACGTCCACACAGCAAACGGCGTGGTGTGCGTCTCCCTGTCCACCTAACGATTGTTGTTTGGTGCTTTTTGCGTTGTTTGTGTGCTGTGCCTGTTTGTGCTGCTTTCGCGAATACGGCCCCGGCTGCAGCGTCGCGCTCCAGGAAAGGCGAAGGAGGTTTTTGCTTCGTTTTACCAGCAGATTTGCCTTTATTTTTTTTCCATGAATGGTGGGTAGATTTGCTTTCGGCAAATGGAATCTATTATTTGTCTTTTGCCAGGGAGAACGCAAATGCGCGATCTAGTGGTCTCATTTTATAATTGTCATCAAAGCGAGCAGCAGGTGAGCGGTGTAGTAATTACTTTTTTTTCTTGTCGTTCATACGGGAACCACTGATCGTCTCGTTTGTTTGGCTTATAAGTCGTATTTTTTTAACTAATGAATATTATTTATCTTTTATAATAAATCAGTCAACGGTACTTTCAGCTATGTCTTATCAGCTAATCGAACAGGGCAGACGAGGAGAGTGGCTTGTAGATGGAATTAACGCGGTCTTGACGAAAACATGTGCTCTGTTTTTGCCTCTCACACAGGTGGTCGGCTCGACGCTAAATCATACGAGTAGGGTCATAGTCCCTTTGTGCCATCAAGGTCTAAGTGGCAGTTTTCGTAACTCAAATCGAACCAAGAGGCAAGAGCACGGAACAAGGACGCGGCGGCGACCTTGATGCCGTACGTTATGGATCCGGAAACCTTGATTCTGGCCACCTGGTGTGCGTTTTCCGGGCAGAGAAGAGGACAGCCCAGGGATACAGGCATACAGACGAGTTGCACACTCGGGCCTTGTTTAGTTACCCCAGAATCCAAATTTTGACACTATGCAAAAAAAAAGATTTCCAATCACATCAAATTTACGGTACATGCATGTAGTACTAAATGTTGACGAAATCAAAAACTAATTACACAGTTTGGTTGTACTTTGCGAGACGAATGTTTTGAGACTAATTAGTCAACGATTGGACAATTATTACCAAATACAAACGAAATGCTACAGTCACGGGAGAATTTCGGCGGCGCCGATTCTGCGCTGAACTAAACGCGGCCTCGGGCTAGATTCCCTCCTGCCTTTCTCATACAGCGGGAAGTGTCTAACCAAAACAGCCAAGTAGGCCCCGGTATGCGCACCACCGGCGTCTGCGTCTTGTCCGGCCGGAACATGGCGAGCCGACCGCAAAATCGCCCGCCTACTGCGCCGCCGTCGCCCAGCACGGCGCATCAAGCGAGCCCCAGTGCCCAACGGCCCAACGCGATGCTCTTCGAGGAAAGGCCCTAAAAGTGGCGGCAGCCGCTCCATCGCGTCGCTTTTTGTGGCGACCGCGCGGTCAGCTGGTGCCGGTCCGCCTGCTGCTCAGCGCCGCAGCGCACCTGTGCCACGGCCGGGCGCTCGACCCCTTGCTTTCACTCCTTTCCGCTCGCCCGGCGTCGGGAGTCAGACAAGCAGGCCCATTCGGCGGAGAGGAGAAAAATAAAGACCTTTGCCGTGCGGGCGGCGAGTTCCTTTCTGGTGGGGCGCGTCGCGTCAGACGACATGACGTCACGCAGCAGCCCAGCAGGGAGAGAGGCCGCGCGGCTTTCACGGGGGCGGTGTCCGCGCGGCTTTCGCTTTCGCGCGGGGGGCGGTCGCTTGCTGCTCTGTGCTCTCTTTTTTTTTCCGGAGAGAATTTGATCATTGCCATAACAAATTATACTGGTTTCCTCGTTGCCATAAAAAATCATAGCTTTCCTTAACTGCCATCAGGTTGTAATATTTGATTCCCTAACTGCCATCACCGTGGACAAGAGCCCACTTCTGTTAGACTGGATGGGGAAGACAGTTTTACCCCTCAAAAAAAATTTCTCCAAGTTGGGTAGCAGGCAGAGAGACAGAGGCAGAGGTCTCTTGAATGCAAATGCAAAGGCTGAAGCTGCAAGCAGGGCAGCGGCAACAGGTCGAGTGCAGTGCTCAATTCATGTTCCTTGTTTCTTGTGTGCTCGTGCCTGTTGCCGTAGGGTGAGGTGCTCGAGAAGTTGGGCGCAGGCGTCGTCGGTGGCGGCGTCCGGCTGAGTAACAGCGGTGGCGCCAGGCCCGCGGGTGGCGGTGGCGGTGCCTGGCCGCGCGGACTCAGGAGCGGGGCGCTGGCTCGCGGGAGATCCCCGGATGCGCCCGGATCCTGGGTCGGGATACCGACCTTCGTTCGTCCAATCTCTAACTAATAACGGGTTGTTTTAGCCTTTTCTAATAATTAGATTTTTTTATACACTTATACTGCTATAAAGTTATATTTACATCGTCTTCTTACTATATTTACATTGATTGTTCAGTGTAATTTATTGGACAAAGTGATATAATTTGAAAATAACACAGATATATGCTAAAATTTTCAAAAACATTATAAACTATTTCTATGAATTTCATGCATCAAAAGAATATATGTCAAATTGTTCATAAATTCTTTAGAAATTTTCAAAAAATACAAAGCTTCAGAAAATTTACAAATTATGGTCCAACAATCACACACGGGTTTCTACGTCTGGACCGGCTTGTTGACGGGGTCGGAGGCGGAGGTGTATGGATGAAAACGGGACGGAAAATTCCCGTATCGACCGGCACCGTATACCGCATTAACCGATCGCATACCGTTTTTATAGAAAAAACAGAAAACGGGAAACCGACACCGTATTTTAGGCAGGAACGGGAACGTAATCAGTTAAGGAATTTTTCCGACCATATTCACGGTTCCCGTATTCGGACAGGAAAATTTCCGGCGATATTTCCGTATTTTGTACACCTAAACCTCATATTCAACCCAATGATTGATGCAGCCCACGAAACCTTCCGCTCCCCCGCGCCGAAGGCCCAGCCCACTCCCGTCCGCTACTCCCTCCCGTCCATCCCAAAAACGGCATATGGTTGCTATTGTTATGAACTTGTCCACTTATTTACATATGGTTGCTATTGTTGCATCTATCTCATTATTTTAAGTGGTTACATATATTGATGTTCTCGTTTTGTGTTACCGCTTTCCGATCATAATCGACACGTTCCCATTCGAAATATTCCGTTCCCGATATTCCGTAATACCGGTTTTGATTTCCCGTCCGGCCTTCCTGTTTCCGTTTCTATTCTCGGAAAAAAAATACCGGAGCAGAAATGATTAAGATATTTTTTCGACCGTTACCGACCGTTTTCATCCCAGACCGAGGTGCACGCACCAGAGGATGACGGGGTCGGAAGCGGAGCCCCACCGGGAGGGGTCCGCAGGATGGCATCCGGGACGCACTTGTTGAGGTCGTGGAGGATCTCGACGAGGGCGTCCGGCGGCCTACGCTCCAACGCCGCGGCGGCGACGTACACGCGGGCAGGGCGGTGCCGCTATAGGGCGGCGGAGCCCGGGAGGGGCGCAGCGGACGCGCGCGCAAGGAAGGCGAAGGCCAGGAGCTCGGACGCGGGGCGGGGCCTGGTCCGCGCGGACTGGAGCTCCGCTGCCGGCGATGGCGGCGCTGACCGAGGAAGGCAACGGCTGGAGGTAGGGATCGGGACCATTGGCAGTGGATCTAGCGCCCCAGAATACGGTTGTCGTGGATCTCCAAAACAACCGGTTGATGGTTAGCAAATCTTTTTTTTTCTGTGTTGAGGCCGATTGGCTGTGAACCGATGCCCACAGCTTTCTCTACGTACGAGGCAGGGGCAAAATCGTACACTACTTTGAGGAGCCCGGGGCCGGGCCTCCCTGTGCGAGAACAGTCCCGTCCCGCGGCCGTTACGGCACGGAGGAGAGAAACCCCACCAAAACCACCCGGAACCGAGCCAAAAGCCCGATGGCCCCATCGCCCTCGACCCCGGCCCCGGCCCCAGCCCCCACCATAAAGTCGCCACGGCCACTGCCATGCTGCCGCAGCGGTTAGGAGGGCGGGAACAGGAACCGCGGCCCGCACGCATCGAAGCCGCTGCGCTGCGGACTGCGGTGGTGGGCTCTGACTCTGGCGCAGGGGCGTGGGGGACGGGCACCCCGCCTCCGGGGGGACAAGCGCATTAACGCCACTGCCACCTCCGCCGATTTAACTGCCCACCTCTATCGCCTTCACCTGTACGCCGTCCGCTTCGGAGGTTGCTGCCCGCCATTAACGTGCCGTCGCTGGTAGGCCGACGGACGGACCCCAGAAGTAGTAGGCGGGAGAGGGGGATGCGGATTGATCTCAACACCGTGGAGGAGGACGAGCCGGCGGGCGGCGCGGTGTGCGGGGAGCTGTGGCACGCGTGCGCGGGGGCCGGGGTGGCGCTGCCGCGGCGGGGCAGCGCCGTGGTGTACCTGCCGCAGGCGCACCTCGCGGCGGGCGGGGACGGTGGGGAGCTGCCGGCCCTTGCGGCGGCGGCGCCGCGCGTGCCGCAGCACGTGGTGTGTCGCGTCGTCGACGTCGAGCTAGGCGTGAGTTTGTGTCCCACCTTGTGTCGTGCTGCTCGATTGGTGATTTGGTTTTGTTTTGTTTCTTTACATACGCCGGTGCGTGACTGCGTGCTGCGTGCAGGCGGATGCGGCGACGGACGAGGTGTACGCGCGGCTTGCGCTGGTGGCGGAGGATAAGGTGAGTGTCGCGCTTCAATCCATTCGAACAAGTTTGTTGCTCGCGGTGGGGGCGCTGTGTTTTCAGCCAAATTGTTTGATTGATTTCTACTGGGGATATTGGATATGCTATCTGTTCCATTGACTTCTCTTCCTGTTCCTTCTACAGTTTGCATTTTGCCACAGCGTTGCAGCGATATCACGAGAGTATATTTTTGGTAATGAAATGAAACGTGGAGTTCTTCGAAATGATTGGCTTCGAGTCAAGAGTAAGAGTACAGTGTCACATCGATTTAGACGGAGTTAGTGCTTAGTACTAGTACTTTGGTAGAGGCTTAGGCTTCGTTAACAACATTACCTTGTCATTGCTTTTTAAGTCCTTTTCCTGTTTTCCTTATTAATGCTTGGTTAAACTTTGGTGACTTATGGCTTGATAATTTGATCAGTCACAGTAATAAATCATTTATTGTTTATACTGTAGTAATAGTCCCCTTTTTTCAATATTATGGTACTTTGTTATAACTTAATTTTGGAGGCATTGCTTCGTCCTTGGTGTTAGTACTAGTTGCTCACTAGTATTGTACTACTAGGAGAATCGATCATAGTTTATTTTAGCACCTCATTGTAACGGGCAATGGATGAAACTAGGAGGTACCCCCGTGCTTCGCACGGGCCAGCAAGGAGGAATTATAGCACATCATATTATTACACATGGAACAAATAGATCAGTAACATTAGTTACATATGGGTTGTCATTTGAGCCCTTCATAGGATAATGTTAGCATAGTACAGGGCTGTTTCAGTTGGACATAGATACTCAGGTCCAGTTTAGTTTGCAAAAAATTTTGCAAAATTTTTCACATTTCCCGTCACATCGAATCTTTGGATGCATGCATGAAGCATTAAATATAAATAAAAAATAAAACTAATTACACAGTTTAGACGAAATCCACGAGACGAATCTTTTAAGCCTAATTAGACTATGATTGGACACTATTTGCCAAATAACAACGAAAGAACTTTCAATGTTTGGCAAAGCCATGCACCTGGCAAGCGAGGCTTGTTATGTGAATGTGTTCCATCAGACTGATTACGATCGTAAAAGATGAGTAGGTCAAAGAAGAAGACAACACTGAGGACCTGGAACTGTGCAGGCAGACTGAAAAGTATGTAGTTTAGTTAAAAAAAAGAGCTGTGTAGGCAGACTGAAAAGTATGGTATTTGGGTGTACATATTGCAGCAAAAGTAAGGTTTTCACATATAGGGGTACTACTGTACTCGTAGTAAATTGTTACCTTATAATGAGCAGGGAGACGTTTAGTAGCCTGTGTTATGGCAGAAGGGTAATGTCAACATAGCAGAGAGCCTGTGTAATTGTTACATGAGGATAGTACGCACTATGGACTAAACCTGAAACAGTAAAACCTGAATTAGAGAATAACAAATTAGAGGTGATTGATGGTAAAGAAAGCTGAGGGTAGCGAGAAGAGCTGACCAACCTGAGTACATAAATTGCATATCAGCTGAAATTCATGGATCAGTGCCCACAATCCAAGGAAGAAACAAAAAAACAAAGCAATTATTAAGATCAGATAACCAATTGTAGACAATGTTGTAAAGGCATATACTACCATGGTTACGTACCACCAAGAGCTATAGCGTTAATATATAGGAATGGATTTAGACTTTGCGAAAAAATAATGAATGCCAAAACCAATCAGAATATGCACAGAACAAAGATACAAAGTAGTTGCAGAAGGTCCACATGAAGAGCACCGTCTGTACCTCTCAGGAACCTACTAAAAGGGCAATGGACCCTATTGTCCATGATACACAGCCTGCAAGAACCTGAAAGGAACATAAGCGAAAGCCTCACTTGCAAACACAAACACTTAACTCAATGAAATTGACCCTGAGCCAATCTTTTATGCGGCTTCCCCAACAGGCACCTAATTTTTTAATGCATTTCAGGTCGTTGCATACTTTACAAAATATACCAAATGGTAAGCCAAGCTCTGAGTATGTACTGCCCAGCCTATCGAAATCTGAATTAAACCTAAGCAAAAGCTTTTATATGAAATGTAAACACGTAGCCCAGCAAAATGGATTGTAACCTATTTCTGAGTCGCTTCTTGAGGAGAGACGTAATCACTATGCAAAGTCAGTCATGACATTACACACTGATCTAAAAATATTCTACAGCATCCATGCATAGACCGATGTCATGTGCCATAGCACAGTAGACAGCACGCTGGCCTGAAACAGAAGAAGCACAGAAATGGCCGATCGAGCTGCTGGACATTGGCAAGCTGAAGGTTGGCATAACCATGCCAGCATGGATAAAAAAGAGCACTTTAGTCTTTTAAACAGGGAAACATAAACTGCATGTTGGAGAAGTAGAAGGGTGAAATGGAATGAAACGCTACCGATGCAATTGATGCTATCATCAGGAAAACCTAAATTTAGGTCTGCACAACATGACATGAAATTAGCACATGGCATCATTATGTTAAGCTTGTACACCTCCTAAATATTCTGCAAATTTGACAAACAATAGGCAATCATTCAGTAACATACTGATCATCTGTTTGACAACAAATATTTACTGGTCTCTAATAGAAAATCCAAAACTGAACTACAGATGATGACCTGAACATTGAGAGAACTACAAAATTCAGCACCACCACACTGTTGAGGAAATTGCCAAATACCTTGAATCATCTATCAGTATTTATCATGAGCGCTTAGCAAGGAAGAAGTTTGGCTCACATGGCGTGCCTGTCACATGATCACATGATGCAGGAGGTGGGCACTATTAGTGAGAGGGAGGGGCCCTGCAAATGAATTTTCATGTGCATATCGATATATCATATGAAAAAATTGAGACAATAAAAAGAGAAAAAAAGGAGAGCATACCTGCTGCCCCCATCTCACTGGGCGACCGCGGAGGGCGCTTGGTGCCTCCCTGCGCCAGCGGGCGGTGGACGCGGCAGTACGCGCTGCCATCGCTGCTGCAGGAGTGCGCGAGGATGAAGCGCCATGAGGGAGGTGGCCGGGCGCTGTTGCGGGGCCATGGCGCGCCCCAGCGGCGTTGCTGCGGCGTGGCGCAGCGGCGTCCTGCGGGCCGCGCCGCGCGTCCTGGGGAGGATGCAGGCGGGGGGCGCTCCAGCGGGGTGTTGTCGCAGCTGGCCGAAGGCGGGGCGGAGCGCCGCGATGGTGCGCACGGATGCGGTGAGACCGCCGGAGGGCGCCGGCAGTGGAGCTCGCAGACGGGGGAGAGGAAGAGCAGGCGGAGGCTGCGAGGCGGCGGTGCGGATGGATGCGGTGAGACGCCGATCGACGTGCTTTGACGGGTCCGTGGGGAGAGGATAAGGCTGGCGTTGCTTGGCATGGTGGTTTCTGGAGGCGGGCGTGGCGGGCATCCGGGCTGTGCAGACTGGATCGAACAGCCAGGAACAAAGACTGTGGATGAATAGTGATCTGGGCGAGGGAAACCGGTAGGTACTGTAGCTAATTCATCGGGATTAGAGATCTTTATAGATAGGAATCTTGCATGCTGTGTGGCTGGAAACAAGAAAGCTTTCTCCCATAGGTCTCTAAAAATATTGTTTATTTGGACCCAGATTGTTGGCCGAAACATCCATGATGGTGAAACTGAGGAGAAGAATGGTGAGAAAGAGGATGGTGATGGAGAAAAGAAGCTCACATCGCACATGTTGTGCAAGACGCTCACAGCTTCTGATACAAGCACTCATGGGGGATTCTCTGTTCCTCGGTGGGCTGCAGAGGACTGCTTTCCACCATTGGTGATACACATGGAACAGACTTCAGTTTGCTCTTAGTCCCAGATTAGGTTGAAAAATGCTGCTCTGACCAGTTCTTGTTTCATCTTTTTCTTCTACTAGGATTATGAGCAGCTTAGGCCTTCCCAGGAGCTTATTGCCATGGATTTGCATGGCATGAAATGGAGGTTCCGTCATATCTATAGAGGTACCAACACATGGTCTAGTATTTTGGAGTACTCCTAGATTGAAGGTCTAATTTCCATCAGAATTTATAATTGCTAATGCAACATTGATATAGTGTATGCTTCTTCATGCTTCACATGGAAAGTGAATGTGCACTACTTTTCCCTAAGGAATGCTGCGTTATGCTTGGTAAATGGTATGGGCCTGAACTAGTGCATGAAATTAGGTCAGCATTAGTATGGAGCATATTTATTGTTGGACTTAAAAAGTTCATGTGTTTCAGTTTCTAAAGCAAGAGTCCATTTTATTGTGGCAAAGTATTCAATTGGTTAGATCCTGATGTATGCACTGTAGGAGTCTTTCCTATTGTTTTGATTTGTAGAGAAGAATTGTTGGGTTAGTAAAGTAAGAAAGGAATTGTTGGGTCAGTAAAGTAAGAAATGAAATTTGGGTCACTTCTAATTAGCAATTAGAAGTTACTGCCAGTTGTATTAAGTAGGGAATCTGTTGATGGCTCATGTGGAAGCACTTTCCGCCTTCCTTTCTGACGGTGTGCTCAATTTCATAATTGTTCCACCTGGCCCTGTTATCTGTCGATGCTTGTCAGAACTTGGGGCAAAACACAAGGCCCAAAGAGTTAGATTAGCGCTAAAGTTTGTTATATTAGAGCTAAAGCTTTTTCTTCAATTTCAGGTCAACCTCGTAGGCATCTTCTGACAACTGGATGGAGTTCATTTATCAATAAGAAGAAACTAGTTTCAGGGGACGCAGTCTTGTTTCTTAGGTAAGCATGTTGGCAATGTGCTAATACTTACCAACTTGAGTGGTTTCCATTTCTCATTTGTGTTCATTCCTTTGACATACAGAGGTAATGATGGTGAGCTAAGATTGGGTGTGAGGAGAGCAGTTCAACTGAAAAATGAAGCTCTACTTGAAGCTGTCAACTGTACTGATCCGAAGCTACTTATGCTGTCTGCTGTGGCCAGTTCTTTGGACAACAGAAGTATATTTCACATCTGTTTCAACCCAAGGTCTGTTTATTGGTGCACAGTAGGTTCATTAGATTCTAGTTAGTCACTGTTAACTGCATAGGGGTAGATACAACCATACAGTTCTTTGCAAGTTCATAATTCTTCAGTTTCTGTAATCTTTTTTCACTCTCTCACAGAAAATTTATTGGGTAGCCCAGTTAAGTGGTCTTCAAAATTTGGATCTCTGCACCTCCAAGGTCATCTAGTGATGCCTGACATGCTTTGAATTATTGCTGTATTTTTATTTTGTGAATACACATTTGTCTGTACTGCTTAACTCATGCGCATTTGTAAATTTTAAGGAACATGCAGCCTCCAAAAAACAATTTCTACTTCGAGTATTAGTATAGTTTTACTTAACTAATGACAGTGTTTTGTCCTTAAACAGGATTGGTGCATCAGAATTTATTGTGCCGTATTGCAAGTTCTTGAAGAGCTTGAACTATCCTTTTTCAATTGGAACCAGGTTTAAAGTTGGCTGCGAGAATGAAGATGCTAACGAGAGGTCTACATTCTTTTAACTTCGGAAATCATTTTTCCATGTACAACAGTATCTTGAATTGTCTTCTATGTTTGTAGGTCCTTTGGATTGATCTCAGGTATTAGTGAAGTTGATCCCATACGCTGGCCTGGATCAAAATGGAAATCTCTCCTGGTATGATTTTAGACGTCCTGTTTTTCCTAGCCAAAGAGCCATAGCCAGATTTTCCTGTCATTCTTAATTGTGGTGTACTACTGATACCTTCTAACAAGTCATATTAACCCATTGAATTCGATCGGACTAGCTTGCAATGAACTTCAACAAGTCGGTAAACTTTGGTCTTCCACTTGCTGATTTTTTGGGTGGAAGTAGGATCATCATTAAGGTTGAACCTAAGCTGGCTATATATATGTGGGGAGGAAAAGTGTAACCTAGAGTTGTTTATGTACCCAAATCTAATATGGTCAACAACTATGCTTAAATATGGTGAGATAAAGGTGTAAAAGATTCTTGGTGCTTTTATAATCTAACCTCCTATACAATATAAATAGAAATGGATCTAGTTTTAATACTTGTTTAGACTTAATGTATGTCATGGGGATACTTGACTTTCCTTCTTCTCATCTGTTTGCATGATTTACAGGTAAAGTGGGATGGTGATACTAAGTACAGCCACCAGAATAGAGTATCTCCATGGGACATCGAGAGAGTTGGCAGCTCTACTCACTGTATTTCGTCTTCTGTTTCAAGCGAACAAAGTTGTGCTTCCCCCAAGGTGATTTTGACGCGCCAATTCTAGGTAGGTTCCACAGCATGAAACTAATACAGATTCATAGCTAAAAGGTTCCTTTAGTCAGGTCCATTTAACTATTTGCGTGAAACATGTAGATGGAAATGGTCGTCCAGACTCCATGGAAACTGAACGTTTCCACCGGGTCTTGCAAGGTCAAGAATTGGTGCACTCTAGGATTCATGGTGTTGCATGCTCTCATTCATCAGATAACCCCAGATGTCAAGGCTCCTATGGAAGGAGATTCTCTGCCGATGTGTGGAACTGCAAGATGAATGATTCAATGAGTGGGCCTCGACACCTAAATGCTACTGGGTTTGCTTACCAGCCCCTAGGCTTCAGTGAATGTGTCAAATTCTCAGAGGTCTTGCAAGGTCAAGAAATGTCTCAGGTGGTTCCTTCCTTCATGAGAGCTGCTTTCAACGCTGGCACACAGAATGGCAGGGTTCGATCATTTGATTATGTGCAGAGATCAGCTGCAAGTCAACGATATGCTCTCCAGCAGTTTAATATGCCAGCAACAGAAGTGCATTCGCCCTCTTCTGTTCTTATGTTTAACCAAACCATGGTACCACAGCCTGAGTTAGATGGTGTGACCAACCGTGAAGAAGCATATGGCAGTGGGTACTCATCCATTGCAATACAGAGAGAAGCTGCACCATGGCCATCCACGCAGCAGCAAAGAGTGAGTGAAAATGGAAGCGAGCCGCTTGACACAACTGAAGCCTCAGCTCCTGCAAGGATAGCTAAATCTGGATTGGTCGACAGGGGCGTCGGGCGAAGCAGCTGTAAGCTTTTTGGTTTCTCCTTGACTGAGAAGATCCTTGGAACAGAGGGAGGTGGTGTGAAAGAAGGGAACTACGAAGCGGACCGGCAAACTCCCCGGGTGCTAGACTTGTTTGGCCACGGCCATTCTACGCCCGGTGCTCTGCATGCTCTTTGCGCTGCTCCCTTGGGAATGTGATGATGTTTTACTTAGTGTTATAGTAGTTAGATTTATGTAATCCTTCTGTCATGTCCATAGTGTTGGACACGGACAATCTGGGCAAAGCCGCAATATGTCCCACGTAGTCGGTAGTCAACAGTCCCGCCTGTTTAATTTGGCGTTTTTCCGGTATGAATTCCAGACATCCTCTTTTCAGATCCATGCATGCGATTTCTGGCAGGCATGCGCTGCTCTGGCAAAATTCTGATCTTCAGTCGCTGGTTTTGAACTTCGACGGTCTGGCTGTTTTCATTAGGAAAGTGCTATTACAAGGTCGTCCGTGCCGTCCGCACGCTTCAGCGGACAGGCCCGATAGGCGTGCTCACCTTTATGTTTCTTTTACCTCTGGAATTTTTCTCCAATCGCACTTGTATCGGTGTCGCGGCCTCTCTGCGCATCCGCCTGCCCTGCCGCGCCCGCTTCCCCCACCGTGGCCCATCCCCTGCTGTGCCGTGCCCTTCCCCCACCGTGCTGCACCCAATCACTAGCCCGCTGCGCCCCAACACCCGCAAGCGGACGATGCTAGACGACTGTGGCAGAGCAGCAACGGCGCTAGAGTAGCAGCAGCGGGCCCGCGCCCATGGGCATGAGCCTAGGCCGCGAGCAGGTGTTGGAGAATGGCAAGAGGAGCGATAGGCCACGCTGACGGCTGACGGGCGCAAGCGCGCGGAGTGACCCCCGACCGAGCTTCATCGCTACCGTAGTTCCTCACTTGGTAGGTCAGGGTTGTTGCCGATGCCGTGTTTTAAGTGTTTCAGGCGTTTTAGGCTTATGTTTCAAGTGTTTCATCTAAATGTTGCAAAAGTATATCCAAGATGTTGCATATGTTGCAATGACAATATACGCATGTTTCAAGCATATATTTTCAAGTGTTTCAGACGTATGTTTTAAGTTTTTCATCTGGACGTTGCAAAAGAAGATCTGACTACATATACATGCATATGTTTTGCAATGGCTGCACACGTGTTTTTCAAGTGTTTCAGACATATATTGCAAATGTTTTAGCTGTTTCGGACTTATGTTGCAAGTGTTTCATCCGGGTGTTGCAAAAGTAGATCTAGAATTTTGTTGATTTAATTAGAAAAATTGATCAAGTCTAGTTAAATCCCACGATTGCCAAAGACAAGGAAGATTGACCGCCACAGCAAGGCAACATACTTATTGTGCTGTAGGTACTTGATGGTCGCTTTGGTTGTACATAAATGATTTGGTGTTTGAAAAGAAACATGTTCATTTTTCTTTATAGGTGTTACATTTGTTATCCATTGGCTTCGTACATGGGATATCCTCCAAAAGGTTACTTCACGAGCTTTGGTTGCAGCGGCATCGCAACAAGTGGCGCAAGCGGTCATAGTTTTTTTTTCTCTCCCGATTATATGGGTAACGATCTAGTTTTAGGATTGATAGTCATTAGAGTGACTGGCTTCTTCTTGTTAGGGTGTATGCTTTTATGCAGAGGCCAGCTTGAGTTCATAACTATTGTATCAACTCAATGTAACAAATGATTGTTTTTTTAAACAATTCGGCATACTTTATTCATTCAAGACAGTTACATCACTTGCTAGGCAATAGTATGAAGCTAGGGGGCTCATCGTCCCAAGTACAATTTTGCTTACACTGCATCGCTCTTCTTGCTAAATTATGCGCCGCTTGATTTGCCTCTCTATTACAATGCTCAATCATAATATCCTGAAACCTGCTCTGTATGATGTTACACTCATCATATAAGGCGGTTGCTGAATTTGCCGTGAAACCTCAATCCTTCATTGTTTGTATGACCTCCATGCAGTTTGATTATATAATTAGCCGGTTGCACCCAATGGGTTGCGCTAGCATCAATCTTTCTTTCAACGCGTAGGCTTCCGCCATCGGTGCATCTACCAAGTGTAGCACGAAGCTGTGGGCAGCAGCTAAGACTCCTCTGGTGCTATCTCTTATGGCCACTCCCACACTACCACACCCCACATCTTCATCAAAGGCCGCATTAACATTCACCGTCAATTTCCCTTCTGGAGGCTTCAACCATCCCCGCCGTATCTGTGACCCTCTCTTCATTGCCGCTTTATAATTTTTTTATTAGCGCCGCGATAGACATGGCTGATCTTGAGGGAATGATTGTTAATTAATAAAATCCTTTCCTTATGAAAACACTTATTGTGACTACAAGTTGACACACGTCCAATATTATTAGGTAACCAAAGAACAACTTATTACCGAAAAAAGGAAAGTCCTATTCACCAAACAATTATGGGTAGACCTCAATGATGGACCGAACACCAAGAACGGGTATGATTTTGTAATCACTAAATCCAGCTTCAAAAATGATCTTCTTCCACTCTTGCTCGTCTCGCTCGACGCCGTTGATAAACATGATGTAGAGATCAAACAAGACCTGGGTCTCTTTGTGCTTAATGTTTGACGATTGGCCCCCAATAACCATATCTAGGATTATCACCTTTCCTCCTGCATCCCTGGGAGGTATAGCTTTCTTACAATTCTTTAGTATCTTGATACAATCAGCATCGCCCCAGTCATGCAAAACCCACTGAAACCAGATAAATAAAAGATGAACGAATAAAGTTGATCAGTAATAACGAACGGGTTGGCCATATATATGTTTTCACCACCTTCTCCAACAGCATAATAAAACAGTGTAAATTTGCGTATAGAGGCCAAATCAAACAATTAAAAAAAAACAGTAAAGGACGATGTACCTTAAGGAAGACGGCGTCTGCCGGTGGAATGTTCTCAAACATGTCACCAGCAATATACTTCACACTGGTGCTAGCGGGAGCATTGGCGGTGACATGCGGGAGATCCAGCACGCTGCACTGGACATGCGGGAACGCGGTCAAGATAGCCATGGCCGCCCCTCCGAGCCCTCCAGCGACGTCGACAATGGAGCTCAGCCCCCGGAAGACGTCGCCGCACTCCTTGATGACGATGTCCATGATGAAGCTGCTGTCACAGACCATCCCCTGGTTGAAGAGCTGGCCGAAGGCAGGGTTGTGGTGGTTCAAGTCCCACGCAGTCTGCCCATGCGTCATCTCAAACAGGGACGGATCTGAGTGCTCTTGCTGGAACCACGTGCCGAGGCCAAGGAAAGGGGACACGATGATCCCATGCAACACCAGGGACACGAAGGGAGTCAAGCTTGAAGAGCCGCCAACCAAGAGCTGAGACGCCGGCGTGAGCCCGTAGACGAGCTCGCTGCCGCCAGCGTCGTCGTGGTGGGCGGCGCTGAAGATGCCGGTGGCCGTGAGTACTCGCATGAGGCGACGCAAGCAGGGGATCTTGGACGGGTGGAGCGTGGGCGTGGCCCTGGACCCTATCTGGGCCAGGGTGGCGTTGCCACCGTGGCTGTGGATGGCGTCGGCGATGCCAAGGTCCAATGCAGACTTGAGCGCCATGGACTTCATGTAAGCAAAGGTAGTGTGCCAGAGCTCTAGCTGAGCGTCAAGCAAGGCTTGGTTATTATTAGTGCTTGTGGTGAGCGCCATGGTGCTGTTGTGCTACTGCACGCCGTGTACTGAATTGATTTGTGTGGAATTGAGGGTTAGAACTCTCTCTCTATATATAGACGCGCGTGCAGTGTACAACGAACAAATGAAGTGAACATGCGATGTGCACTTTAATTAGTTTAATCACAGAGTATTAACTCCTTTCTTTTAATTTAACTACTAATATAGAAACATTATTTGCATGTGTTAAACGCGTTGGCCCGCAGCGGTTCCTCTAGCAGCGATGGCGATTGTGTCGGTGCTGAGCACTGAGCACCTGTTAACGTGCGGACAAGGGAATCAAGTGGACGCGAGAACCCATCACTCACGTGAATACCATGTATTCTATAATTATCTAACAGTACTTACGCGAGAACCCATCACTCACGTGAATACCATGTATTCTATAATTATCTAACAGTACTTACTCCCTCCTTTTCAAATTATTTGACGTTTTGGCTTTTGTAGATACACTTCAGAGAATCACTCCTCTCTGGAAAACTGTTTGCAGTGTTCCTGCTGGATTTAGCAGAGAATCACCTTTGAGAGCTCTGCCAAATGAGATTACAGGTCGTAATTCTCTGTTGATAGTGTGAAGCGATTCTCTACAATAAATTAAGAGACTAAGAGCTAAAAAAAAGTAGCATCTCCTAATTCTACAAAGTGATTCTCCTTTCGGCTCTGAGCAAAATTAATGCATATTCAGATGGGGATCCCCCCATTGACTTTCAAAAAAACATCTACAGAGTGATTCTCCATTACGATTTTAAGAGTTTATCCTAAAGAATTAAAGAGAATCACTTTCAGCCACATAATTACTTCTATGCCATAAGTAGTTACAAAGTACTCCTTGCAGCCACGAAATTACTTATATGCCATAAGTAGTTACAAGTACTCCTATGATCCTATCCTCCAACACGATGCGGATCGATTTGCTCTCGTAACTCCCCACGTGACTCGTGATCTGTAGCACCACCGCCGCCGCTCCACCTCCACCGTTTTAATAAGTTTTCTAGTAGATCGAGTCCTTAGGCTTATGGTCTCTCTATGCCAAGTTTCTTGGTTTTGGGGATTTATCTCCTCCTCCTCCTCTCCGGCGACGGCGAGAGGGCAGGGTTGAATCATTTTCTACATGGCGGCTCTGTTGAAGATGGGGCGACAACTATGGCGTCAGCATCCTCACCGGTATGACGACATGGAGACTTTTATTTTCGGACGATGACATCAAGGCGGAGATGGTGTCGCCGCCATGGAATAATTTTTCTCGGTCTCTTCTCCGCTTTTATTGTGGTTAGATCTGGTCACTGATGAAGGACTAGGGGATATAAATTTCAGATCAGTCTTCCTCATTCTTTGGTGGCACAAAGAAGAAGGAAGACACCGAAAGAAGAAGTTTCTCAATTCCGCCTACATGAATGTTGGCCGTGGATTAGATTGGGCATCTGTTTGCTCGTGCCCTTTGCCGAGTCTTTACCGTGTGGTCATCCATACTGCAAAGTGTCGTATATGTTTGATTTTGAGATCTGGAGCTATTCACAGCGTGGGTATAATTTAGATGAAAATCAGTTTATGGATATTTGTGTAATCCAGAGTGCTTGTAACGTGTTGACGTAGCTTACTATTATCTAATATAATTCTGGTTTCGTCGAGAAAAAAATATCTCCGTCCGTATTTTCTCGAGTGGATATATATTTTTTTCACTGATAGATCTCACCGTATCATGTACTGGATCTTTGCTACAGAAGAAGTCACTATCGGGACCCGGAATTTCTCATCCAGTGTTATTAAGCCGACAGACATTTAAGAAAATCCTGACACGGAGATATGATTGGCCAGCACTGAAAAGCCCTGCAGACTTATCTGGCCACCACTGATAAGCCTACAACTGCCGAACTTTATTTTGGATTAAATATCCACGTGAAAAACAGAAAATCATGGCAGCAAATAAGCCACGTACTTGTGGTACCAACTCACCACGTTTTTTCTTGCAAATATGTGCATTGCATGTATCTCATTAAAGAGGGTAACTCACCACGTTCATGGTAGACCTTAGCAGCCAATGCAAGTTCTCGAAACATTGGGATCAACTTTTAAAACATATGGTACCAAGAGAGTATACCTATACCTATTTTTTTGTATTGTTCCTGTAAAAATCTAAGGTCTATCGAGTATAATTGGAACAAGGTTCCCCTAAACCAGAAACAATAATGCTTGTGTTCGTGCGTTCGGATGCATCAACCCACAAGTAAGGCTTTCACAAGCAAGCTCAAATGCCTTCCTCCTTAGGCTTACTTTATTATTTCTCTCCTACCATATCCTCTCATCTCACTTTTCCACTATGGCCAACCCTCGTTGTACGGTGCCGCTGATGGCTAAGGCATACACACCGCCGTTCGCCGCCTCTGAGCGATTTCTTGGCTTCCCGCGCGGCGAGTTGTGGCTACTTTCGCAGCTGGTGTGGCTGAGTGAGCTCCGCTCCGCCCCCACCCATGGTTGTACGCATTGGAGCTCCACTCGATGCACCTCAATCGAGCTCGTCACCGTCGATGGCTTCCACGCTGACCGGTTCGACCACGACGCAGATTCGTGCCACGCTCTCTGGACCCGCATCGTGTCGTCTGCGTGTGGCGCTCCCGCTCCCTACCGTCTCTGCTCACCTAGTGGCGCTCCCACTCCTGCCACCGAGTTCTCCACGCTGATGTGGTGTGGTCCACGACGACTCCTCTGGCGCGGCATTCTCCATCGCACCTAGCTGCCCGGCTGCCGCCGCCATCCTCCCTCTCCACCCGAAAGCGCCGCTTGTTGGCTACCGCAGTTCCCCACCAGGTAGGCCGTGGCCGCCGACGATATCGTGTTTCAAGTGTTTCAGACGTATGTTTTCAAGTGTTTCATTTGGATGTTGTGAATGTTGCAATGGCTATATATGCATGTTGCAAACGTATGTTTCATGTTACAAGCAAATGTTTCAGGTGTTTCAAATGTATGTTTCAAGTGTTTCATCTGGATGTTGCAGAAGTAGATTGAGATGTTGCATAACATGCATGTTCCAAGCATATGTTTTTAAGTGTTGCATACGTATGTTGTAAGTGTTTCATTTGTATGTTGCATATACTTGAAATAGCTTTTCAAGTGTTTTGCAAGTGTTTTAAACGCATGTTTTAGGTGTTTTAGCTATTTCGAATGTATGTTGCAAGTGTTTTATCTGGATGTTGCAAAAATTAGATCTGGTGTTGCACATGTTGCAATGGGACCCACCTGCCACTGGGGCACCGTGTGGGTGTAACAGAACCGACCAATTATACGAAATTAAGTAAGAAAATCATCCGCCAGAGCAGACGATTTAGCAAACTTAAGCCCGTATAACCCGGTAGTCCGTGAAATTATGAAGGATTTCAAACCAACTTCCATTCCAGCCAAGATTGTAATAAGTTTAGCGGTCACCATCACATATTACATAAAAAGTTGCATCTCAGATACATCAGAGTTTAAACATAGTTATTACAAAACAAGTTTGAGTAAAAGTAGCGGAAGCCATTTGTTCAAACCACACACGCACACGGAGTTCAAATACAGTGCCAGCGAATGATCATCTCCAACAAAAGCATCAGACGAGACGTAAGGAATGACCATGCCCATGGTCCTAAGCATCACCCATCGCAGGATAAAGGCAGTTGATACAGTAGCCGTAATACATCTGCCCATCTACAACAAGTGGAAATAAAACCCTGAGTATGAGAAGGTACTCAGCTAGACTTACCCGACATAACCAAAAATAAGTGACACCAAGGATTATGAAGGGCTTTATAGTAGGGTAGCTGACTCATTTGCAAAGAAAGCATTTTTAGCATTTCAAGAACCTTTCTAAAAGTATTATTGCCAAATTAATTATTTATAACCTGTCGACTAGATTTGCACCTACACTAGAGCAAACATGTGATTAAGCCAATAATGATAACCAATGATCATTAACAACTTCCATACTGTCATATTCATTATAACTGTCCAACTGTTCCATAAACATTTACTACGATGAAGTAACTCAAGT